TTTCTTCTCTTTTTGGCTTGCCTCCCGTATGGGGAGGCAAGTCTAGTTGACTGTAAAGAACAACATATAAGAATATTAAGTTTGACAACAGGATCCCTAATCTAGAGAAATGACAACCTTATTTCCACCGGTTGTGTTACCACTTCTGGGGAATCCATCTTTTTGACCTACACTCTTGGTCTGAGTAAGACTTGGTCTCATTGATCTAAAGCAGGGGTCTTCAAACTTGACAGCTTTAAGACTCGTGGACTTCAACTCCCAGAATTCCTCCTCCAGCCATGTTAGCTCAGGAATTCTGGGAGTTGAAGTCCACAAGTCTTAAACTTGCCAAGTTTGAAGACCCTTGGTCTAAAGCAGTGGTGGCTAACCTTTTGGGTCCCATGCCGATAACTGCAAGCTCATGCTTGCGTGTCTTCACCCAGAAGGCAATGCACGCGGGCCCCTCTGGGACATGGTCATAAGTACATGCAAGTTGCCTAGCATCTGAATTTCAATCACGTGTCCATGAAGATGCTGCAATGCTTCGTAACAGTCATAAGTCACTATTTTTCAGTGCCATTGTAACTTTAAACAGTCGCTAAATGAACTGCTGTAAGTCAAGGACTACTTGTAATGCAGATTCCTCTACAAGCATTTCCTGTTTCACAATAGCAGGAAATGTGGTAACAACCTGGCTAATATATTTACCTGTCTCATCATAATGGTAAAGGTTCCCCTTGCACATCCATGCTAGTCGTTTCAGGCTCTAGGGGGTGGTGCTCATCTCTGTTACAAAGCCGAAGAAGAGCTGGCACTGTCCAAAGACGTCTCCGTGGTCATGTGGCTGGCAGGACTAAATGCCGACGGCACACGGAACGCTGTTACCTTTCCACCAAAGTGGTCCCTATTTTTCCACTTGCATTTTTTACATGCTTTCGAAGTGCTATGTTGGCAGAAGCTGGGACAAGTAATGGGAGCTCTCTCCGTTATGCGGTGCTAAGGATTCGAACCGCTGAACTGCCGACCTTTCTGATCGACAAGCTCAGCGTCTTAGCCACTGAGCCACCGCGTCCCTGTCTCATCCTACTTTGAATCAAATATTTTATTCTTAGGCATTGCAGGAGCCAAAAAGAAACTGCCACAAATGGTGACAAATGTTAGGAGGAAATTCTGCAAAGCAGACATATTTTCTAGGAGAAGAAGAAGAAAAGGAAAAGAAATTCTCTGGACGCCTGTTTACGCAAAATTGTTCTCCCGAGACTTTCGTTCTGCTCCATTCAACACTAAAAAAAAAAAACAAATATACAAACAAACGAAAAAGCCTTCAATGCTAATGCAGAGAAGCCTGTTCAGGTCAAACGTGTGAAAATGTGTTAGTGAAATTTAAATATTTATGTATATGTGATTTTTTTTTGGGGGGGGGGGGTTGAGAGCTGCTGTAGTGTGACAAGAGAAAGCAACATGTATTTTGGGGCTCTGTTTGAGAAATATTCAGCATTTCCCAAGTCAACAAGCTCTGAAAATGGATGTTTCAATAATGTCTTGATAAAAGAGAATCTGCATAGCTCAGGGTTGAAATGTGGGGTGCTTGGTGCTCTCTGAGCTTGGTGGTTTTCTTGCAGACATTTCATTACTCAACTAGATAACATCATTAGTGCTTATCCTATGTCCTTGTAGCATTGATGAAGTTACCTAGTTTGGAAATAAAATGTCTGTAAGAAAACAATATATATATTTCTTATAGACATTTCATCACATATATATGTATGTGTATGTGTATGTGTATGTGTATATGTGTGTGTGTGTGTGTGTGTGTGTGTGTGTGTGTGTGTGTGTTTGTATGGTATTCAGCTTTGTTCGGGTATTTTCCTATGTCATTGTAGTTGTGCTTTTAAAGTTGTAGCAACATTTCGGCAGAATCTCATCTGCCATCATCAGGCTTCTGTATTGTGTTCATCTGTGAGTCAGACTTTCACAGCTGTTTTAGTTTTCAATTTGGGGCTAGCCAACTGCTGTGCCGGAATGTTTTTTTCTTCAACCTGATTGGTTGGGAGTCTTGGTCTGTGTTTATTGGTCTTGGAGTTTGCTGTGTTCTGCTTGATTGGTGTTTCTAATATCTTCTGTCTGTTTTGTAGCTTTTTTTTTTTTTTGTCTTGATTGGCTGGCAACATTGTGTTTCCTGTATTGGAGGCTTTTAGTGCAGCTTGGCATGTTGTTCGTCGGCTAAGCATTTTGTTTTGGAGATGAGTGTCTTGGCTACGGAATTGATCTGTGCTGGGTGGTGGTGTGAGAGTGCGTGTAGATAGCAGCTTGTATGTGTTTTCTTCTGGTAGATGGTGTGTCAACACCTAAAAACTGAACTACACACTCTCACTAAAGTACTAACAGCCAATGAATTCCAAAGAAAGAAGATTACCCTCCTAATCCAAAAAGAAACCCCAACCAAAATCCAAGACAGAGAACAAGAAAACGGCAAAGCCCTCCTCCCATATATAAAAGGCACTACAGACGAAATCAGCAACATCCTCCAAAAACACAACATTAAAACAGCATTCTGCACAAACAGAAAAATATCCACCATTCTAAGAAACCCTAAAGACAAAATTGAGTTAGAAAACCAAGGAGTATACAAAATCCCTTGCACCGCCTGTCCCACCACATGCATCGGACAAACTAGAAGAATAAGTGCATGCATTGAAGAACACAAGAACTCAATCAAAAAAGAAGAACCAACCTCTTCCCTGGTCCAACACCTCAAAGCCACAGGACATGAGACTGACTTTAAAAATACCAGAACTATCGCCAAAACCGAACACTTCAACAACAGAATAATCAGAGAAGCCATAGAGATAGAAAAACGCCCACACAGCATGAATAAATGAGATGATACCTCACACCTACCAGCCATTTGGAAACCCGCCCTCATGAACAAATGAGTACCTAACATGAAGAATGACACCAGACCCACATGCACGAGGGCCACACAAGATGCTACCACCACACTTCCACATAGAAAGCAGACTCACACCCACACAGAAGATGAGACACGACCACGGACCAGAAGCTGTACCGCAGCTGCATCACTACCCGCTTCAAACCCCTCCGACCCATACATGAAGCGAACTGACACCCACCATGAAGATGTGGCATGACCACAAATGCGAATCCAAACAGCATGATCACAGCTCACCAGCTCAAATCCCCCAGCAACTAAGACTAACCTGAGCACAACCAAGCCCCCACCTGAACAGAACACACCCCCAGCCAATCAGAACACAGCCAAGCCCCCACACAATCAAGTAACACCCCCACTAGCAGTTAAAAGGAAGAAGCAGCTGCAAGCTCACATTACTCCGAGAAGCACAAAGCCGAAGACACAAGCCTGAAGATGACGAATGAGACTTCATCGAAACGTCACCAAGATACTTCCAATTTTACATGGGAGAAAACCCGAATAACCAAAGATCCACATACAAATACCCACAAAAACCTCATAAAACACACACACACACACACACACACACACACACATATATCCCTTCTTCCCCTCCCCCCAAATATTTGAGTAAAGGTAACAACCTTTAATCAAATTTAACAAGCACAATCGAGAGTGGGATCTTGGTTATTAAGCAAAGTAGCTACTAAATGAGAAATCATGTGACCACAACTGTGCAGGAAATTCTATATCATTTCAGACAAGTGACTGTCCAGTCTCTTCTTAAAAACCTCCAGTGATGGACTACCCACATCTCCTGAAAGCAAACTGTTTGTCCTCACTATCAGAAAGTTTCTCCTTAATTCCAGGTTGCTTCTCTCCCTTGATTAATTTCCATCCCTTGTTTCTTGTCCTGCCTTCTGGTGCTTTGGAGAATAAATTGACCCGCTCTTCTCAGTGGCAGCCCCTCAAATCCTGGAAGACTGCTATCATGTCCCACCAGTCTTCATTTTTCTACCCAAATCCTGCAACTGTTAATTCATATATTTTTGTCTCCAGGCCTCGAATCTTCTTAGTTGCTCTTCTTTGCACTTCTCCCCCCAAATCTCAACATCTTCTGTGTAACTTGGTGACCAAACCTGGATAAAATAATTCCAGGTGTGACCTTACTAAGGCTTTATAAAGTGGTTGATTGGATTCTACGCCTCTGTTTATACAATCCAAACTTCTTTAGTTCAGTCAGTTTGTTGGATGAGAAGCAAAACATTTTCAGAGAGAAAAAAAAAACAAAACAAGAAAGTCCAGCTGTCTTTTTTTGGAAAAAAACAAACAAAATAAAATATCTTTGGGGCCACCATGACCTAGATGATTGAGTGTCTCTGCAGACATTTATCCTCAAGGAACACAATGGCAAGGATGGCAGGGTCAAAGTTGATATTTCTTCTGGTGGTTTCTTACATACATGATTTAACTCCTCGCCTGTCCCACCCCTCGGTACCTTAAGCATAAAAACGGGACCAATTCTATTTTCTCCCTTTCATCTACAGTCATTCTCGACTGAGTGAAGGAGCTAACGTGAGGCTGCTTGACACTGACTTAACAGGCAGCCACTGCCTCCCATCAATCACTCAGCCAAATGTTCTCTCCAGCAGATACTTGGTTTTGGCAGCAGCAGAGACCTGCCAGAAGCTTCTGGCCATGATAAGCAAGGATGTCGATGAGAAGTGACAGTTACGCAGCCCAGGAGATCCTGGGAGGGTTGCAAAATGGCCGGATAGAATTGGTTTGGAACGGCAAGCTTTGATCTGTCTCTGCAGTGTGGCTGGCAAACATCTGATTTCAGCTATGAATGCAGGCTATGTGGAGCCCATTGTCTTGAGTAGCAACACACCAGCTATGCGTGGTGGAAATCTCAGGGTCCAATTCTGAATTCACTCAGGAAAAAGGAGGAAAAATAACTTCATTGTTGTTTTTTCAGCACCCATCCAGGGTGGTCCTACATGTTAAATGTTAAACTTTTGTTGTTGTTGTTGTTGTTGTTAGTTGCAAAGTTGTGTCTGACCCATCATGACCCCATTGACAACATTCCTCCAGGCCTTCTTATCCTCTACCATCCCCTGGAGTCCATTTAAGCTCACCCCAACTGCTTCAGGGACTGCATCCAGCCGCCTCCTTCTCTGGTACCTATTTATCTACTCAAGTTTTCCTACTTTTGAACCAGAGGTGGTATTTAGCAGGTTCAGACCAGTTCTGGAGAACCGGTAGCAGAAATCTTGAGTAGTTTGGAGAACCGGCAAATGGCACCTCTGACTGTCCCCACCCTCATGTGTTCTCCGCCTCCCGAGTCCCAGCTGATTGGCTGGATCTTCTTTTGTTGCCCTGCACAGGAGAACGGAGCTGGAAAGCAGGATAGTGGGGTGGGGAGGGAACGGCACTTTGCAGGAACCTTCCTTCAGGAGTGGGGTGGGAATGGAGGTTTTACAGTATCCTTTCCCCTGCCACACCTACGAAACCACACCGACTAAGCCATGCCCACAGAATCAGTAGCAAAACCATTTGAATCCCACCACTGTTTTGAACGGCTAGGTGGCTAGGAGCTGGGGCAAGGAACGGGAGTTCACCCAGTTACCTAGTACTTGGGTCTCAAACTGTCAACCTTCCAGTTGACAGCACAGTGTCTTAACCACTAGGGCACATGCCCCTCTGTTCTGCTTTAGTCTACTCCTAAAATAGCAGTTGCAATCAACGCAATGGGAGGGTCTTGTCAGGAACTGTTCCTAAAACATTTGGGTTTGTATCTTCAGACACATGAGAAGGCTTGAGTACTTTTGGACAAAGGACACCTAATAGAGATAAATGTAACATCGTGTCCAACTCCAGAGGGCAGAGCTCATCTCCATTTCCTAGCTGAGGAAGCCAGCATTGTCCAAAAATGCTTCCATGGTCATATAGCCAACATGGTTATACACCAAAGCGTACAGAATGCTGTTACTGTTCCATCCATGTGGTACCTATTTATCTACTTGCATTTTCACGCTACCAAACTGCTAGGTTGGCAGGAGCTGCGGCAGGAATGGGAGATCACCCCATCATATGATGCTTGGGTCTCGAACCACTGATCTTCCAATTGACGTACTTCTGCTCTATCTTTGACCTCATGAAGTTTGCAGATTTAAGCCCAGAGGTCTCCAGTTTGTACGATCAGAAATCAAACGAGGATTCTGACCAAGGAGAAGTATCGTCAGGGAAGATAATATTACCTTCGATGGGCACCTATCTATGGTTGACAGATATTGGTAGAAAGGGCTGTGAAGTTAGCTTCATTGTCCTAAGAGGGCTTGAAAATTTCAGTGGTCCCAGATGCAGTTGGAAGGGTTGGTTTATTGGATTTCTGGATTGCTCTCTGCTTAAAAAATTCACAGAGCAATTTATTGAGTCAAATAAAAGAAAAAGGCAAGGGTTGTTTATTGTTCTTATTATAAACACCCTGGCAACTTGCAAACACAGGGAAAGGGACAAAGTTCCCAGATGCAGTGATGCATCTGGGGAAGACAATCAATGCATCTCCAGAAGGGGAGAAGTCACAAGCAAGAAGGCCATTACTGCTGATCCCTAGTGGTGATGCCCAACATCACCAAGGCTAGTAGGGCATTTCTAGATCTCCTGTACAGTGTAGGGAAAAGGATACCAAGGAATGGGGCACATCAATCAAACATGCCACCCATGTTCTTGGCAACTCAGTTGCCATTTTGCATTCCCAAGCATAATTCCAAGTGTTGTTCCTTAGTTAAGGTAAAGGTAAAGATTCCCCTTGCACATACATGCTAGTCGTTTCTGAATCTAAGGGGTGGTGCTCATCTCCATTACAAAGCGGAAGAGCCAGTGCTGTCCAAAGACGTCACCATGGTCATGTGGCCAGCATGACTAGACTCCAAAGATACACAGAACGCTGTTACCTTTCCACCAAAAGTGGTCCCTATTGCATGTCTTATGTGCTTTTGAACTGCGAGGTTGGCAGAAGCTGGGACAAGTCATGGGAGCTCACTGGATTACATGGCGCTGGGAATTCGAACCGCCAAACTGCTATCCTTTTTGATCGAGAAGCTCAGCCACGGAGTCACCCTTCATTCCTGAGTTGTAAAACCCCCCAAAATCTTGGGCCAGGATACCTGAAAAATGCCTCCTTTCTCATAAATGAAGATACATTCCGTCATTCATGAATCTGTAGGAACTGAAATTGTCTGGATGGACATTCATGATAAGCCGTCAGTGTTACGTGACACAGATTTTGTTGACAGGAGTTCAACCTTGTTTTCACTTGTTAGATGCCCGTTTCAGGAAACGCTTCTTTCTCTCTCTCTCTATGACAGTGAGGAAAAGAGAAGCAATTTCCAGCAGTGTGTAAAGGAATAACAGGAGAACACCATGGAGGAACTTCAGCTCCCAACAGACCCAGCTGCTGTGGCTAGCAGTGAAGGATGCTGTGTGCTGTAGTTTGGTAACATCAGGAAGCTTACAAGTTGCATACCCTTTCATAGGGTTACGGTGAATTCATACCTGACATATTCTCTCCTTTGAGGTGTCATCAGCTTACTTGACATTGAGACTTCTTATGCTCTTCCACTCCATTCCATTTTTTTCTTCTTGTTCTGTTCCATTACTCTACTCTACTCTACTCTACTCTACTCTACTCTACTCTACTCTACTCTACTCTACTCTACTCT